TATATATATATATATATATATATATATATCACTGCTGATAGTCACTGGTTTGGTCCGGCGTATTTTTCCATTAATTTTTAAGATTACTGTGACTTTAACATACATACATATCGTAAATTTTGTTCCCCAGACAAGCGAAATAAGCCCAATTGTGAAATCGAGAATTGAAATGGAAATTCGTGGTGAAAATCAAATCACTGACAAACAATTTCTACTTTTCAGCCTTCTACGAAAAGAGCAGGTGGAAAGATGGATGAATGTTCCGTTCACCAATTATTAAACTCTGGTGATTTACTTATGAACAGCCGGATCTACAAAGCTGATTACTGCAGAAAATTCCTAACTCATAAATTATGAGTCTCTTCATTTAATTATTGGTTGCTTTTTGTTCTACTGAATCCAACCAATTAATTGATCAATAGCCCAAAACTCGATTCACCTATGGTTTAAATCCCAGGGAATAAGTATTCATCCTATGGTACCTCGGGAAAGGAACTGTTGATAAAATCCGTCAAATGAAGCATCCATCACAAAAGTTGATGTGACATGCATGTACCGTTATTCGTATTCAAACCCCTCTATGTCTAAAACCTCTTTGGTGATAATGAATCCCGCTATTACCTGATGCAGAACTACACCTGCTTTATAGATTCACTCACCTCTATTGATATTGCTGGAGGGGACGCGGAACACTGTACCGTAGGTCAATGTTTATGATCATTGAAATATCAGAACCAGTCAATTCCTATCCCATTCGTTAGACTGTTTGAGACAGTCCCGATGCATGAAATGTTTGTCATATTTGCATTAAAAAATAGTCACATCACCAATTTTCTTTGCATGAAACCGAAATATATTACACGATTCAATCTGAAGCATTTTCTCTACGAACAAAAATCATGAAACTGATGTGACCTACGTTTAAGTTTAATATCTAAGCTATTATCTCGAATAAAAGCTGTTACCGTTCTTTAGCTAGCATGGGTTAGGAAATATAGAACCAATTCAGGTTAGTTTACGATATGTAACCCAAACTGTACTAAGCTGAAGACTTTTGGATATTCATTAGCAGACGGAACCAACTGCGTTTTCTTGGCGGGTATAAATGCGTTTTTATTTTCACAATACATAATACACATAATACACAATTGCTATTTGTTTTCAGCGGTAGCCGAATTCCATGAAGTAATATCCAATAGGTGCCTTCGAATTTTTCAAGTGCTACAGCGAACACAACTTTCCATTTTTGACGATTTCCGTTATTATCCTTTTGACAACTGAAATAACACCGTCAACGGTTGTATTTGGCGTTTGATTACATACGATGCAATTTTGTCATTTTACTAAACGCACTACTTATAAGTAAGCATAATCATTCCTTCGTTTGAATGAATGAATGATCATTGTTGTAAGAATACAACTGACAAAATTGTTGAGATCTCCATCCGTTGTTTTGAAGCCAATGAGAGCACGATTCGTCATGAAAAGACCATCTTAAGGATTAATTTATTCTACACTTCCCACTCTCTGCAGAACAAAACCGAAATGTCCACGATTCACCCATCGGCTCCACATTTCCGCGGTCCGATCGGATTGCGGATAGCCGAATACATGGATGATGATCCCTGGGCTGCCAGCATTCTGGTAGCCGATTCCAGCGCTAATGCCGATCTTTTGCGACAACTTGAAGCTGGATGTCGCCTTGAGCCGGAATCGTATCGAATGGAGCGGGTACAACGGCGTCGAAATCTTGAAACGGTCATCGATTTGCATCGGACTCCTACAGTACGCTCGATTGGACTAAGCCGAGCACAAAGTGAAACCGATTCAATCGATACGTCGTTTACCACAGTGGATGCGGATGAACAAGAAGAGGTTGAGGATGAGGACTAGTTGTTCATACCGAACAATGGGGTCATTTCAGCGGAATCGAAAGCTATTCCACTGTATACGAAGTCTTTCATATCTCTTTTCCAAAACATCACAGATAAATATGATTTGTGTTACTCCAAAAAACTATCCTCAACGCATACCACCCTTTGCCTTATTTCATTATTAGGCACAATCAATATAACTGCGTTGGATGCAAACCATCAATTACATGGTCATCTTTGAGTGCATGTGAAGCCAGCTGATATAACCGAGTAGGATATGCGGATGTCACTGACTTCTCAGGCGAAGGTAGAATTTTCTTCAGAAAATAAGTTCCACTCTCCACAAACGCATCACACCAAGTGCATTCTTTAGTGCGTGTTTTTTTTTCTTCCACATCTCTTGCCGTTATCCCCAATTAGCAGATATACAAATGAACAAAAGCATACCTCCTAAATGAAAATTGACTTAAAATTTTGCTGTTTTTTTCGTATGAAAATTTATCTTCTCTCAGTACAGGTTTGATACCAATCTGTATCGACTGTTCCTCTTCAGTTTATTACTGTGTAGTCAATAATCATTTCCCCTTCCCACCAAAAATATATGTCCAACGATCCATAAAACATCCCAACTCTTCAACGCACAACTGATCATCTAATAGTATGTGCTTTAAAAATACTAAATAAACTATACTCCCTTTTGCCAGAATAATAAAGAAGTACTAGTCAGCAATGAACTTTTTATTTTCTTCGTTATTGATTCTGATACAAACAGAACTTTGAAAAGTGCAATGAAAATGTTGAAAATGTAGTTTGGGATGCGGAAAGCACGAGTCACGTGGACCACCAGCAATCCCCCAGGTGCATTCACCAAAAAATTGCCCCTTACAAAACGAAAGCACGGTACAGCGCCACGTGTGTGATTCATTATCCATCCAAAACAGGAACAAACAATGAAATTTGCTTTCTTTTACATTTTCTGGGGTTATTGGAAAGGAAAAGTTGGATAAGAATGCCTTAATACATTTTTCTAGACTTTTCAGAGCGTAGCAAAGCTTCAAGTAAGATTACCTGAAAAGCAATGAGCTTCCCTATGCAATCGGAATAGTGCCGGAATCACCCGAGTTGAAAGTTTGGTCTAATCAATAATTAGATCAATATTTTCAGACGTTACCTGGAATTTATTTCATTCATTCAATATCTTCACCGTCGAACCACTGCATATTGCATCTCCCATATTTAATTGTTATTTATGGGATTCACGTGCTATATATACATATATATATATATATATATATATATATATAG